AACACATGTCAGGAGGGTGGAACATTCCATTTCCATGGCAATGGAAGCTCCAGCACTGGGGATTTTTTCAGAACTTATCCTCAGTGTCTCTTCATCTGGCTATTTGTATACTTTAAAATATCTTTTATAATAAACTGGTAAACACTAGTGTTTTTCTTGAGTTCTGTGAACTGCTCTAGCAAATTAACTGAACCCAAGGAGTGTTTATGAACCTCAGTTTATAGCAGGTTGGTAAGAAATAGATAAAACAACCTGGGGTTTGGAATTGGCATGGGAAGTGGGGGACAGTCTTGTGGGAGTGACTTCTCAACCTGTAGGATCAACACAGTCTCTGAGTGGATACTGTCAGAATTAAATTGGATTAGAGGACACCTAGCTGGTGTCCACTGCAAAAAGGTTTTCTAAGATGTCAGAATGTATAGACAATTTTTTAAAAAAGTGTATCCAACACAGTCTTCCCTGTGTTATATTTCTCCATGTCCCTTTTCACCATTCACTATACTATTTATTTGGCTCAGGCATTTGTGGCCTGTCGCCATCCACTTGAAAACAGAATTTTGTTTCCTTCTCTGTCTATCCTCTTGAATGACTTTTCCTTGTTTGTCTCACCTTCCAGTACAGGCACTAATTCTACAGCTTTCTCGGTCCCCTAAAACAGGGATCATTTTCATTTTGTTAAGGGGCAGAACCGGGTTCAATCCTAGCAGACTGGCCCAGGTGCGGTGGCTCACACCTGTAATCCCAGCATTTTGGAAGACTGAGGCAGGAGGACTGCTTGAGCCGGGGAGTTCGAGACTAGCCTGGGCAACATGGGTAGACCTTGTCTCTACAACTCTCAAAAAAATTAGCCAGAGTCGGGCTCGGTGGCTCAGCCTGTAATCCCGCGCCTTTGGGAGGCTGAGGTGAATGAACTGCCTGAGTCCGCGGGTTCGAGACCCGCCTGGGCAGGCGAGACCTCATCTCTACAATAAATCAAAAAATTAGCCGGGCGTGGTAGCGCGCACCTGTAATTCCGGCTACTCGGAAGACTGAGGCGGAAGGTTCGCCGGAGCCCAGCAGGTCGAGGCTGCGGTGGCCGGGAGCAGCCACTGCACTCCAGTCTGGGTGACAGAGTGAGACTCCAACTCAAAAAAAAAAAAAATTAGCCAGGCACGGTGGCCACCTGTGGTCCCAGCTACTCAAGAGGCTGAGGGAGATCGTCGAGCCCCTGAGGTGGAGACTGCCTGAGTCGTGCCACTCCTCTCCAAGCCTGGGCGACAGAGTGAGACGCTAGCCCCAAATAAGTGAATACATAAATAGGTAAGTAAATAAAGAATCCTAGCAGACTGGTCTCAAAGACGTCTCATTCACTGCCTCTGAGAGCTAATAATGACGTTCCCGAGCAACCCCTTGGGGGCCCTCCCACTGTAGGAGCTTTTCTGTCCTGTCAATAAATCCTGCTTTAAAAATAAATAAATAAACAATGACGTTCCCACGTGGCAGGCGAGAAAGGCACTGATTTTTCTGGGACACAACACAGTCGTGTTCCCAGTCGCGGTTCTCACTGCCAGAAAGCTTAGCACGGGCCGGGCTCGGTGGCTCAACCTGTCATCCCAGCACTTTGGGAGGCAGAGGCGAGTGGATTGCCTGAGCTCGCGGGTTCGAAACCAGCCTGGGCAATTTGGCAAGACTTCATCACTACAAAAAAAAAAAAAAATAGCCAGGTGTGGTGGTGTATGCCTATAGTTCCAGCTACTTGGAAGGCTGAGGCGGAAGGATCGCCTGAGCCAGCAGGTCGAGGCTGTGGTGGCCGTGAGCGGGCTACCGCCCTCCAGCCTAGGCGACGGAGTGAGACTCCGACTCAAAAAAAAAGAAAAAAAAGCTTAGCACGAAAGCAAAGTCCATGGACAGGCACAGAAGCGCGCATCGCGGTCACACGGATATCGTGTCACAGAGCCGCACACGCGCACACACCGAGGCTCAGCCCCAGCGCGCTCTTCTCCCCGAAGCCTGGGAGCGCGGTCACTAGGGACGCTCTGGTCTCCAGGCGACGGGAGACGCCGCGCAGCCTGCGCCTGCGCACACGCTCCGGGTCGCGCAAGCACGCACGTTACGCCAGGGTCCTGCCCACGGCTTACCTCGGTCTGAGGACCCGCCCCGGAGGCGAAGCCACGCCCCGTCCCCGCCCCTCGCACCGGAGTCTGTCGTGAGGCTGCGCCTGCGCGCTGGGAGTTCCGGAGTCTGCTCGCTGAGTCCGCGGAGGAGCGCTTCTGGCTGCAGCGCCGGTAGGTGGGTGGTCGCGGGGAGTGCGGCCGTCGGAGCGGGGCCCCGGCCAGCCCGCCGTCTCGGGCCGCCTGCATTTCCAGAGGCCCGCGCGACCCGTGCGCCGGGTCAGCGGAGTGGGCCGGCCGGCCGGGGGTGCGGGG